GAAACGAGGACCAAGAGTTCTGTTGCTCGCAGCGTGCTTACAAGGCAGTTACAGGCTGCAGTGCAGGTGGCTTCTGAATGCGGCTCTCGCCTAAGCGATGCGCGCAGGCGTCTTAGCAGCTCCAGACGTTATAAGGACGGAGGGTGGCTCCTTCGAAAAGCGAGGCCCTCGCTTGGGAGCTCAGGTCGTACGACAAGCGCTGTAAATTTGTGCAGCCGTTCCACGGATTGGGAGCGGCTCCTTTCAAACATGGAACTATTGCTTTATGTTGCTCCCATCGTACTTCAGGACCAAGTCCCAGAAATAATTTCGAGCACCCGGACCAGTATCGAAACAGAGTCGAACGAGAATCGCCTCCCAGGGCCCGACATGTGAAAACCATCCAGTTTCGATGCTTTCTCGGTGCTCGAAGTTCTTGCTGGTGATCAAGGCTGAACATCATGAACCAAGAGAAGCCCAAAGCGCCGAGCATCGCCAAGGCTTTTCAGGAAATCTGGCTCGTTCCACCACTCGCAAGGTAGCTGCTAGCAGATGGCCTGGATCCGCCGCGGGGGATGTAAGAGCCACTGCGTCGAGGCAACTGTGGTTTTCGGACGTTGGCGAGTAGGCACTTTGCGAGTAGTGGAACGCGCTCGGTGAACTACTGCTACTCCTCCCAAAATTCCCAGTGTCGTCATTGAGATAAATCATGTTTGCTTGCTGGGTGCTTGCATCGTCACCATAATCTCCATAATCTTCGCCATCAGCATCCAAAACATACAGATCACCGTACCACACGGTATGACTGTAGCTGCTCGCGCGTCGCTCCACATGCATACCCGGGCCGTTGACTACCGCCCTCTCCGCCCTATCAACATGCCCCCTTTGAAAACTCTCATGCCGGCTGCTGGGTAAATCCTGGCAGGGTAAGACGAGCGAGTCGGACGGGCGGCCCGTGCCAGGCGGCTCGGGCGGGCGGACCATGCCGGGCGGGCCGGGCGGGCGGACACTGACGGGCGGGCCGGGCCGTCAGAACATTGAAGCGCGATTCATCAGCACACTGTCTGGGGCCAGGGCGCGATCCCTGGGTAGATTGTGGAGGGAGTCCTGGGCGAGAGAGTGCAGGCCCTAAGCGGCAAGCGTCACCTCCTGGGTAAAAATTGCCAGGAGGTCCAAGGCCAGAGCACGACCTCTGAGCGGCGAGGACGCGATTCTTCCATGCATGTATATATACATATATATATATATATATGTATATATAACGATGAAATCTTCGGCGAGGGTGCGATTCGTCATCACATTGCTGTTAATTCTTGGCGGCGCGCCCAAGGGGATAGGGGGAGGGGGTAAGGCTTCCTAGAAGGAGGCTGCTTCTTAGAAGGCGCTGGCCTTACATCTTTAAACAAGGCCCACGCATTCTAAGAAGCAGGGTGCTCCTAAGAAGCCTTCCCCGCTCCCCCTACCCCCCTCTGCAGAGCCGAGAGCGTGGTTCCTAAATAAGGTGTGAGAGAGAATCTTGGGCGGGAGCCGTTGTTGTTTTTTGTAGCCTAGGGCCCAACAGCTTGGTTTGAGCCCCTCAATGCTTCCCTTGACAACAGGAAGAAAGGCTGCGAAAGCCGAGGAGCGCAAGTCAGCTGAAGAAGACAATAGCACCAGCCAGCGAGGGGGATCAACACCAATTGTTGTTCTGTAGAGATCGGAGCTCAGCAATCATTTCAAGCCCGCCCGCTCTGATGAGCCCCTGTGTTGTTGGACGTGCATCCCCCAAGACCTCGACTCCTGCACTCTCTTCCTATTATAGGGACTCCTTCTCTTTGACGGGCGGGCGAGCTTAGACGGACCAGCGGGCGGGGCAGCCCCGAACAGGCATGGAGGGAAAGAAAACTGCGACCATGACCAACACTGTACCCGGAAACGGCGGTGTCGATCTTGGCCACCTTCCATCTCGTTCACCGTCCATTCGTGGATCCTCAATCGGCCACGGCAGGCGTGGACCATGACCAGGATCCGCGCCGACAAGACCTCGCGACATCTTTAGAGGTCTCCTAGATGGGGTCCCAGTAGATGGGGTCACAGGATCGCGCCGCATCGCCAATGAATCGGCGATGCATCGGTGACGTCGACGACGCATCGGCGCCGACGGCGTGGAGAGAAACGGGCTCCACATCGCGCCGCATCGCCGATGCCTCGGCGATGCGGCGACATCCTCCGACACCACCGACCTCGACCCCATCTGGGAGGCCTAAAGCCTTGGCCATGGTGACCGTGAGTCTTCCCTCGAGGTGCGCGTTTTCCTATTCTGCGTTCCGACATGGGGCTGAACGGGGGGGAGGGGAGGGGGGGGAGGGGGCGGGCTTTGGCTCTGGACCTCTGTCGAGTGCGGCTCCTTGCCACCGTGCGTCCCCTGAGGGAGACTCCACGAGGGAGGAGGGAGGAGGGAGGGAGGAGGGAGGAGGGAGGAGGGAGGAGGGAGGAGGGAGGAGGGAGGAGGAGGAGGGAGGAGGGAGGAGGAGGAGGAGGAGGAGGACTGCTCGAAACGGGCGCCCAAAGACCGCCAAGACCTGCTCCAGTGGGGGTGGGGCGGGGGGGACGGGGAGGTGCGAGGGCCCGGCGCCGATCGGCAGAGCGAGGAACGAAAGAAGACGATCGCCCTCCCCCGAGGGCGGGCGGGCTGCTGCGGGAGGCCCCTGGTGGGGCGGTCGGCGGAGAGAACGCCCCTGGCTCGGGTTGTCGGGCCAGCGCTCGTGAAGGGGCCCACAACACACACACACACACACACACACACAAATAAATACACACAGATCCCAGGAGTCCCCCATATGTTCATGCATTTTCTGGGTTTCTGTATCCCCTCCCCCACTTCCCATGTTTTCGCATTTTTCTTGAAATCGACGACTGATTGTGTCTGTGTGTTTGTTTTCCCTCCTGAGCTCGGGCCGGGCGGCGAGGCCGGGTCGGCTCGGGCGGAGGCCTCGAACCTCGGCCACAGTGGTCGTGTGCCTTCCCTGGAACCTCCTCCTCCTCCTCCTCCCTCCTCCTCCTCCCTCCTCCTCCTCCTCCTCCTCCTCCTCCTCCTCCTCCTCCTCCTCCTCCTCCTCCTCCTCCTCCTCCTCCTCCTCCTCCCCCTCCCCATGGTGATCGGGTCGGGACGGGCGGAGGCCTCGAGCCTTGGCCATGGCGACCTCGTGTGCCTCCCCTCGAGGGCGGTCGGGCCGCTGCGGGAGGCCCCACCGCCGGGCGGCCGCGGCCGGGGCGGGCCCCACCGCCGCGCGGAGGCCGGGGCCCGGCGGGCAGAGGTCACCCCTCGGGCGGTCGGCGGAGCACCGCCCCCCCGGCTCGGGTGGTCGGGCCGGCGCTGGGGCCGGGCGGCGCGGTGGGGTCGGGTCGGGTCGGGCGGCCTGCTCGGCCTGTTCGGGGCGAGGCGGGGAGGAGGGCGCGAGGGCGAGAGGAAGGGGGGGGGGCAGGGGGAGGAGGGGGGGGGAAGCAGACGCTCTCCTGGCCGTCATTGGCGGTCTTCTGCACCCCCCTGGAGGCTCGAGGCCCCCCTTCCGTCGGCCAGAGCTCGACGAGAGCTTCAGGACGGCGGTTCTGATGCGCCGATCGACCTTCGTAGGGCTAGGTTCAGGCTCCGGGAGCGATTCGACAGAGTGGTGGTTACGGATGCGAGCCAACACGGAGAGGAGGAAGGGGTCCACGAAAGGATGATCATGCTCAGGGGAAAATTACCCCAGTGCGACCCTACCTAGAAGTTTGAGCCCCTAGGAAAGAGGCATGCGTTGCTATGCTATGCTATGCTATGATATGCTATGCTATGCCATGCTATGTTGCGCTATGCTATGGTATGCTATGATATGCTATGATATGATATGATATGATATGATATGATATGCTATGCTGCGCTATGATATGATATGATATGCTGTGCTAGGCTATGCTATGTTATGCTAGGCTACGGCATGCTATGCTATGTCATGATGCGCTGTGCTATGCTAAGCTATGCTAAGTTATGTTATGATATGCTATGCTAGGCTGCGTCATGACATGTTGTGATATGATATGATATGATATGATATGCTATGCTATGATATGCTATGATATGCTATGCTGCGCTATGCTATGCTATGCTATGATATGATTGGCTATGGTATGCTGTGCGAGGCTATGCTAATGCAGCGCTGCGCTATGCTAAGCTAAGCTAAGCTAAGCTAAGCTAACCCTCTAGGCAGAGCCTAGGTAGGGAATTACACCCATGCTAATTACCCGAACAGAAAACTAAACTGAGCTAAGATGAAGCTGAGCTAAGCCAAGATGAAATAAGCTAAGCTAAGATGAGATAAGCAACGCTAAGCTAAGGGGACGTAACTGGGGGAACCGCGGGGCGGATACCGGGGGAGCCGCCTGGGGCGAGCCCCACTGCCCGGCCCCTTTAAGCCCAGAGAGTAAGAACCCTTCTAGGCAGAGCCTAGGTAGGGAATCAAAAACGTGTAAGTTTTTTCACGGGTGGAAGCCCCGACCACTTAGATCGTACCATATAGATTACATCATATATGCTGTGCCACATAAGCTGCAGAAGATGCACTGCACAACATATGTTGCACCACATAGATTGCCCCGCACAGATTGCATCACACAGGTTGCTCCACATATATTGCTATAGAAAGACACTGCTTGGGATCCACGCGGGCCGACATTTGGGTTCATGGTGACAAACCTGGAGCTGCTGGCCCTGCAGTAGCCGTTTGCGGCAGAAAGCACCAACGCACACGGGGCACTTCGAAGCACCACTTGGTGACGCCACTATCAGAGCGCGATCGCCTGGGGCACAGCTCACAGACACGCCCCACAATGGGGAGGCCAAACCTCTGCAGCCAAGACAAAAGAAAGTGCGAAAAGCGCAGGCCGTCCTGAACCATCGCATGAGCATCTGCTAACAAGCTTACCGAAAAGATCAGAGCGCCGGGATGGACTGGCATCGGACTCAGCACAGGAAAAAAAAAAAAAACTAGCTCATTGCTGCAGCTTTAGGCGGCGAGAGCGAGTTTGGCACAGGCAACCGAGCTTTGCGGATTCTGACCCGTGACAAGCTTGCCGTCCGCAACGGCCTTCTCAGACCACGAGTCCCCAGCCTCGCAAGTCGCCCCCAGCTCGGCCATCTTCTTCGCCAGCGAGAAAGGAACCTTCTCGGACAAGCCCACCGCATCCTCCTCCGCATCCGTGAAGCACGCCACCTTCTTCCCTTTCACGACAGGCTCGCCGTCGGCCGTTTTCGCCTTGACCAGCGCCATGGGGCCGTGGCAGACGGCGCCGACGACTTTGCCAGCGGCCAGCGCCTTGGAGATGGCCTCGCCGACCTCGTCGGTAGGAAAGTCCACGCATGTGCCGTGTCCACCAGCAAAGAAGACAATATCGAAAGTAGCGGTATCCACCTCGGACAGCTTTTTGGTGCCCTTCAGTGGAGCGGAGCCCTCCGCTTCCATCTTCTTGTCGTTCTCCGTCTTGAAGTTGTCGGATAGAGATCCAGCGTCGAGTGGAACGTCGCCGCCAGCGATGGTGACGACTGTTACTTCGCAACCTGCATCCTTAAACACGTAATAAGGACCGCATACTTCTTCGCTCCAACATCCGGTGGTATGACCTCCCATGTCGGTCGCAGACGTGCATACAATCAGAGCCTTCTTGGAACCCTCCGCTGGGGTGGACCCGCAAATTCCCATTGCGACCTGGAGGGCAAGAAGAAGAGCACCAGCACAAGCGTACGTGCAGATGAAGCGCTACTGGTCGCAGCGCTACTAATCACTCTGAGCCTTGAGCGCAAGCGGCCATGGATTCGTGGGAGGTTTCTTGGGGGCCTCTCGGAAAGCCTCTTCGGGGCTGGTTGGGCCTCTTAGGGCCTCTTGTTGGAAGCCTCTTGAGGGGCCTCTTCGTGGCCTCTTGGGATTCTTCTCGGAGCTGAGCAAACAGCACTAATGGTAGACTCCAGAAACTCTGAATCCAAAAAAATAATACATCTGTTCGGCACGATTGGCTTACTTCCACCAGCTTCCGCCGTCCTGTCGCCAGCATTCAGCCAGCTGGCCGCCCCCGTTTTGCTTCAGCCGCTCCCGCCGGCCTTCCGCAGGCTTCCATCGGAGCGAAACACACACACACACACACACACACGCACAAATGAGCCATTCCAGCAAGGGCGGCGCCTCGGAGGGATCGAGAGGTTGGCAGTTGACACCTCTGCCCTGGCCGAAGGCGGCAAAAACAAAACGTGGCCCGATCCGCCGCCAGAAGTCCGACGGAAGGCTGACAGAAGGCTGGCGGAAGCCGGCAAATGAAAAAGAAACACCCACCCACGAGATGCCGGCTTCGTGGCGTTCAGGCCCTCCAGAAACCGCCAAATGGTCAGACCACAAGCTCTCGGGGGTCCTCGCGGATCTCTTCGGTCGGCGCTGGACCCCCTCCCCGCACCCCTCCTGTTTTCGCGTTGCGCACCCAGCGAGCGCACCTCCGCCCGCCGAAAAGCGCCCGACCGCTGCGGGCGCGGCGGGGCGCACCCGAGGGCGCGCGAGCGAGCGAGCGAGCGAGCGAGCGAGCGACGAGGGAGGGAGGAGGGAGGAGGGAGGAGGGAGGAGGGAGGAGGGAGGAGGAGGAGGAGGGAGGAGGAGGAGGAGGAGGAAGAGGAGGAGGAGGAGAGGAGGGAGCAGGAAGAGGGAGGAGGAGGAGGAGGAGGAGAAGGAGGAGGGAGGAGGAGGATCCTGGGCGCGCGGCCCCCTGCGGTCTTCAAGCAGGTGCTGGAGCGCAGACCAGACGACTGGGGCGAGGTCACTGGGCCAGCAGGGGCGGTCCGCCTCTCGCTGGAGCGCATCGGCTGGGAGCTGCTGAATTGGCACTGCTGGAGGGACGACCGCGGGCAGATCATCGACTTGCAGCTGCTCAGCCCGCGGATGGTAGCCAGCCTGGTCGAGAATGGGGTCCACCGTCACCTCATGCTGAAGATTGCGAGCCACGAGGGGTTCGAACATCTCCAGGGCCGCCCGCCGAGCCTGGAGCCATTTAGGGCGGCATTGGCTGGCATGCGGCGTGCAGGCAAGGTGCAGGAGGCAGCGCTGGTAGAGGCACATATGGCAGGAGGGCTCGTCACGCAGTCCGACCTGTACGTTGAGAGGGCAGAGCTCAGCCCGCTGTGCCAGTGGTGCGGAGAAGCACCAGGCACGGCGCACCACAGGATGTTCGCATGCCCCGCCATCGCCTGCTGGGCGCGCGACCTGGGTTTCCAGGAGATCGCCGACGCAGGCAGGAGGGCGCCGCAGGACGACCTGGGCCTGGTCAGGGGCCTCGTCAACCTCGGGCTGGACCAAACCCCGCCTCCTGGCATGGACGAGCTCTGCCATCGCGCAGGCTGCGCGCGGCACGGCCTCCTCGAAGGTGTCATCTGCATCGACGGGTCCGCGATGTACCCCGAGGCCCCGTGCCTGACGCGCACGGGATGGGCAGCCGTGGCGGTAGACGACGTCGGGAACACCGTCGGCGGCCTCCTCGGGCTCACGCCAGGCTGGATCCAGGAGATCGGCTATGCTGAGCTCTACGCGCTGCGCAAGGTTTTGGAGGAGGTCGGCCCATCGCCCATCACGGTCTACACGGACTGCAAGGGGATCAAAGACGACTTCGAGGCGGGCCGTGAACGCTGCTGCGGCCCAGGCCACAAGTATGCGGACCTGTGGAGACGGATCTGGCAGCGGCTCGACGACCTCGGCCCTGGCTTCCTCACGTTGACGTGGCTGCCGTCGCACACTTCGTGGGCCAGGGCCTGTGTGGCAGGCGTGCCATGGCAGGCATACGCGGGCAACAGGGAGGCAGACCTGAGGGCGAAGGAGGGCGCCAGGCTCCACCCCAGGCAGGAGCAGCTGAGCGAGCTGAGCCGCCGCCTGGACGCCGCCGCCGTGCAAGCAGTGGCCTGGTGCGGCCACCACGGGGGGATCCTGAAAAGGCTCGCCGACCTCGGATGGCCTGACCGCGGGGCCCTCGCTAGGCCCAGGGGCTCGGATCCTGGGACCCTGACCCTGGTTGGGCCCGACAGGGGCCACGTCCTGGCCAGGCTTGGTCGTGCCTGGGGCTGTTCGGTCTGTGGGATCCGTCGTGCGGCCAGGGCCAGGGTTGTCGCCAGCGCCTGTCCAGGACTCCCGTGGTTGGTCGCCAGGTCCCACCCGTCCCACAGGCTCTGGGTGATTCGGGGCGGGGACGGGCCGGGTCGGAGATCCTTTGGGACGGGTGGCTGCATCGTGTTTTGTCGAACATGCGGGGCCCACGGGAGTCGCCAAGCAAAGTTCCTGGCCGATCCCTGCGTCCCGCTGGCCAGCAAGGGCCGCGACGCGGCTCGCCTGGCCCGCCGCGCCCTCGAGCGCCTCAGAGCGGGGCGGGAACCCCAGACTGGCTGCCGCTGGGGAGCGGCCCCGTTCCCAGTCTCGAGGGCGGCGGCGAGGAGGGTTTAATTTTGGTTTTGATCGGACTCCAAGGGGCCCCCCGCGCCAGGTCTCTTGCCTGGCGGGTCCTGGGTCTGCCGTGGAGTGTTTTGATCCCCGTTTGGGGCCGAGGCTGGTTTGCAGAGCGGACCGCCTTCTGGTAGGAACTAGAGGAACTAGAGGGAGGAGGAGGAGGAGGAGGAGGAGGAGGAGGAAATCGGCGGCGGGCCAGGCCATCAGCGAAGGCAGTGGCGGGCAGGCAGTCCCCCCACCCCGCACGGCGGCCCGCCGAAGCGCCCGGCCCTGGGCCCAGGCTCGTCCGGAGCCTGGGCCCCGGGGCCAGTGGACACGCGCCTGCCTGGCCTAGAAAGTCACACGGACACACACACACACACACACACACACACACACACACACACACACACACACACACACACGCTTGTTTGGCGTCGCGCACACGCGAGCGGCGGCGCGGCGGAGGGACACGCACACGCACACACACACACACACACACACTTGTTCCCCCGCTGGCAGTGTGACACCACAGTCGCAAGTCATGACATACGGGCAGCACACACACACACTGATTGCACACAGCGTTGTGGACGAAGCGGTCAGGAGCAGGCCAGCACTGGGAGGGGGAGGCACCGACCGATGCGCGCGCAGCCACACAGACACGCCCACTTGTTGGCGCTGCGGCCAGGCGCGCAGCGACGCGGCGGAGGCAGTCAGCCAGCCGCCCGGAGGCCTTCGGTCAGAGTGCGAGGAGGGAGGGAAGAGGAGGTCGAGGCAACACCCGCAGTGTGGGCGTCCCTCGGGGAGGGGGGGTGGCCGAGAGATGGGACGTGACACACAGGCACGTACATGTCTTCCTCCTCCGCGGCGTTGGGACAAAGGCTGGTCAAAGACTCACGGGCCGCGTCAGCACAAATTGCAGTCGCACGCCTGACGATCGGGATCGAGCCAAAGCTGCGCTCTCCTGGAGCAGGCGGGAGCCGCGGCGAGCAGCGCAGGCGGCTGACGAAGAGCGAACGAGTCGGGCAGTGCACCTGGCAGACCTCTGACGTGGGCCAAGATCGGGACGGACGGAAGGTGGTGTTAGTAACAGTTGGCGGCGCGCACAAAGGGATAGGGGGAGGGGGGAAGGCTTCTTAGAAGGAGGCTGCTTTTTAGAAGGCGCCGGCCTTACATCTATAGACAAGGCCCGCGCCTTCTAAGAAGCAGGGTATTTCTGAGAAGCCTTCCCCCCTCCCCCATAACCCCCTCTGCGCGTGGCCGACAAAGAGGGGGCTACGCCCACGCAGCTGGCTTTCAGGACGCCTCCCCGAACTGGGAGGTGCCGGATGCACCGAGGAGAGGCGCCCTGCGGCAGGGCCGAGACCGGCTGCAGACAGCAGCTTTCGTGACCCCCCGTTTCCGCAGCCCTCCCTCTCGTCCGGTCCCGACAGCGCAGCGACCCCCAACTTTTTAGGTCGTTTTTTGTATCGTGCGTCGCAGCGCGGCAGGAGCAGTCCGCACGCGCGCTCGGGCAAGCCGGGCGACGGCACTGCAAGTCGTCCGGATGCAAGAGTGGTGGGCGGGGAGGAGAGGAGCGGCCGCGGGAGGAGGGAGGAACTAGTGCGCTCACGCAGCAGGGACCGCAGCGGGGCAGCGACATCCGACATGGGACACACAAGAACATACCTGTACTACTCGTCCTCCTCGGAGGCGTGCGTCCGACCCAAACATATATAGGACATCCATCTTGCAGCATATCGTTTCCCAAGCGGTGCGTTCAGAAAACGCCCACCACGAAGTGTATATCACAAGATTTCTCGGCGCGACCGTCGCCTCTGTGGGGGCGACGCACACATAGTACCAGTGTGCTGGGGAGACGCCGATGACGTCTGGCGATCTGATTTTTACCACCCGCGGCCACTCGGCCTCCCGACCCCAGGGCAGGAGGTTCGCCCCGGATGCATGTTCTGATGGCGCCAAAACCCGAGAACGGCCCCGACGGCCCAAATAAAAGAAAAACGCCAGAATTGAAAAATCAAATCGTAGGAGGAGGAGGAGGAGGAGGAGGAGGAGGAAGAGGAGGAGGAGGAAGAGGAGGAGGAGGAGTAGGATAAGAAAAAAGAGGAGGAGGAGGAGGAAGAGGAGGGGAAGGAGGAGGACGAAGAGGAGGAGGGGGAGGAGGAGGAGGAAAAGGAGGAGGAGGAGGAACAGAAGGAGAAGGAGGAGGAGGCGGAGGAAGAGGAGGAGATCTGAGAGGAGGAGGGGGGGAGGAGAAGGGGGAGGAAGAGAAACAGGAGGATATTGAAAATCGTCGGAGATCTCGGACTGCAGAAGGGGCTGGAGCAGGGAGAACCCGTTGGGGGGACAGGCCGACCGACCGGCCGACGGCAAGAGGGAGCGCAAGAGGGCAAGGGAGCCCACGCGCAGCACCAGTGATGCTGAAAAACGGCATAAGTCGCTGCGCCACCCGTGCGTCCAGAGAGGGGCCAGGCCAGCGGGGGCCGGGGGGAGAAGGACGAGAAGCACATCGAGGCCGACGCGAGAGGCCGAGCGCAACCGTGGAGCGCAGCACTTAAAGGTTGTGCCTTTGGCGCGCCGATGGGCTGCAGTCGGCGGGCCACAATGAAAACCGGATGCCATCACCCTGAGCATCTGCGTAGGGTGGAGGGCTCAAGGTAAAATCCATTTGGGCTTCTGCACCTCGAAAATCAATCCGTTCTCTTGCTCGCCTTTTGCAGATTCAAGCATCGAAAATCCATCGACATGGCATGTCAGATTTCACCCTGTGCCCTCCACCCAAAGAGAATGATCAGTCATCACAAATTCACCGCCGTGTACGGGAAGACGAGACCGCAATCGAGAGCCGAATCTGTCATCGGCCAGCGGCGAGGGCGATCGCACAACGCGTTCGGGCAGCCGGCGGCCGCGCCAAGGTCACGACGCTCACAAACACCACACGCACCCGCATTTTTGAGCCAGCGGCGCAGAGGGCCCTCAAGCACAAGCAGCACATGGAAGTGCAAATTGCGGAGGCGAGCATTGCCGAACGCGCAGTGTACGAAGCGCCGCACACTGTCAAGTGCAGGCGATGGGTGTGCAACGGCAAATCCAAACGAAGCATGCAGCGGCCAGAGAACGAGAACACCACACACACACACACTTTTGTTTGCGTCGGCGGTTAGGGAGAGTGCCTGCGCTGGCGGATAGGGCACATGTAGGGCGTGCACATGCGAATTAAGCCGCAACGCAAGAGAGGGGAAGGGGGAAGCCTCGGCGGGCAGGAAGGAGGAGAAGCCGGGCCAGCTCAGAGTAGGGCCAGGCTGCGGCAGGGGCAGCGCCGGGGCAGCGGCGCGGCGGCCGCGGGGCAGCCGCACACACACGCACACACACACACACACACTGTTGAGCTTTGCGGGTGTGGCAAGAGTCCGCTCGGCCGAGATCGGTGGTCGCCGCTGGCGGGCGATCGCCAGGCCAAGCGAGAAGGTGAGGAAGCCGCCGGGCCCTCCCGGGGCAGTGGCGGGGCAGAGCAGCGCAGCGGGAGGCGGCGGAGCGCCGGCAGGGCCAGCGGGGCCAGAGCGGAAGACGCTGGAGAACGGGCGGCGCCGGGCCACGGCGCCGCCCGTCTCCCAGCGTCCCCCACCCTCCTCCTCCTCCTCCTCCTCCTCCTCCTCCTCCTCCTCCTCCTCCTCCTCCTCCTTTTCCACCTCCCTCCTCCTCCTTTCGCGGAGACCTACGGTGAGGAACTGTTGCTTACCGTCCCAGCGACAACGCGATGCGTGTCGCTCCGCTCCGCGGGGCGGGGGGCTGAGAAAGGCTCGGGACGTTGTCGCTCGGGGACCGCGACGTGATCTGCGTCCTTTGCCGACGCGCGGCGGGCAAAAACCGGAGGCACGACACGCGAAGCCGCTGAGCAGACGTTCCTGGCCGTCAGGCTCGAGCTCGGGGGACTCGAGCTGGCCTGCCGGGACCGACAGAAAAACGGCACGGCGCATCCTGCAACTTGACACGAGCTCTCGCAGCAAGCACCTCACGAAAACAGGACCACCAACACTCACTAGAGGCCTCCCAGATGGGGTCCGAGTGGATGGGGTCGGAGGATCGCGCCGCATCGCCGATACATCGGCGATGCAACGGCGATGCATCGGCGATGCACCAGCGATGCAACGTCGACGTCGGCGACGCATCGGCGACGTCGACGTGAAGCAAATCGGGCTGCACATCGAGCCGCATCGGCGATGCATCGGCGATGCGGCGCGATCCTCCGACCCCATCTACTCCGACCCCATCTAGGAGGCCTAGACTCACACACCGGAGCCGTCGAAGAAGCGGCGGACCATCCGGGCCTCGGCAAACGCGAGCCTCCAGGCCACCCAACTCCGCGCGTCGCGCCCGAGGCTGCACGCTTCGCAGCCATCGCCGCAGCTATCTCGTGCCGCCGCTCTGGAGACCGGGCGCCTCCGAAACCCCAGCCACACAGTGCGCGCAGCGCAGCTACCTTCGCGCCCCTTCGGGGAGGACCTTTGCTGCAGGCCTCGCAACATGAAGTCTGAGTGGGCGGGGGCGGAGGACCGCGTCACATCGTCCACGGATCGCTAATATATCTTGGCGGCGCGCACAAGGGGGTGGAGGGAGGGGAGAGGGCTTCTTAGAAGGAGGCTGCTTGTCTCAGAAGGCGCCAGCCTTACATCTACAGATAAGGCCCGCGCCTTCTAAGAAGCAGAGGTGCTTCTAAGGAGCCCTCCCCCCACCCCCTACCCCCCTCTGCCTGTGGCTGAACATCGGCGATGCGTCGGCGACGTCGGCGAAGCATCGGCGCCGTCGGCGTGGAGAAAACCAGGCCCCACATCGAGCCACATCGCCGGCACATCGGCGACATGCGGTGCGGTCATCCGGCCCCACCTGGTCGGACCCCGTTTGGGAGGCCTTGTTTTCTCACAGCACACACACAGCAGCACGTGCCAAGCGCGCAACAACCCCCGCGAGACTGCATCGTCCACGCGGCGGGAAACAGACAAGCGCCAGCCGTGACAAGAATTGCCTGGGCATCTGTCCCAAGTCGGCGCGACAGGGTGAAACCACGAACGACAACACCCCGCTTGTCGGCGGCGCGCCTGGGGGGAAAATCAGGAGAAGGCCTTCTCAAAAGGCGGCCGGGCTTCTCGGAAGCCCTCCGGCCTTCCGAGAAGTGTTCTGAGCCTTCGGGGAAGGCTCAGAGAACCCACCAGGCGCAAGGCCCAGGGCATCCTGAGCCCTCTGAGCCAGGCCCGCCCCTCCCCACGTCCCCCACGAGGCGCGCTGCCGAGCTTGGGAGACCTGGACAGGCTCCGAGCCTCAGCAAGCTCGAGCCTTAGGTCGGCCATGTTCTCCTACAGACGGATTTGGGACGAAAAATCAAAAATAGTTTCTCTTTCTCTCTCTCTCTCTCTCTCTCTCTCTCTCTCTCTCAATCACACACAAATATACATATATATATATATACACACACCCACATATACATACATACATATATATATACATTCAAAAATGGCCAAAAATAATCCCCATACTATTATTTGCCTATTCTTCCATATGCCTCCTGCAGAGGGACACGCCCGACTTAGCTCGAGCCCGGCGTTCCCCGCTCGAGCGCCCCGCCGCGCTCCTGCGCGCAGCGCTCCGCGAGCGGGGAGCGAACGGGCACGGCGCCCCGCCGAAGGTCCAGCTCGAGCGCCCCGCCGCGGCGCCCGGCGCGGCGCCCTGCGGTGGTGGGCCTGCTTTCCACCGCCACCACCATGAGCAGGATGGGGGAGGAGGTCCTCCTCCTCCTCCCTCCTCCTCCTCCTCCTCTCCTCCTCCTCCTCCTCCTCCCTCCTCCTCCTCCTCCTCCTCCACCTCCACCTCCACCTCCACCTCCACCTCCACCTCCACCTCCACCTCCTCCACCTCCCTCCCCCCTCCAACTCGTGGTGGCGGTGGTGGAAGACAGGCCCATCCTGCGGGGCGGAAGCTCGCTCGAGCGCCCCCGTCCGCGCTCCGGCGCGGCGCCTCGGCAGCACCCCGCGCCCGCTCTCGGCCGCGCGCGCGCCGTCCCAGCCCGAGCAGCTCCGCCTCCTCCTGCGCGCAGGATGGCGGCTCGGTCTCGTGCGCCGCCGCCGGCCCCAGGCGGCGTGTCCTTTGTCGGCAGCGGCACCGGGCGCGCCGTCCCGAGGAGCTCGTCCTCCGCAGACATCTGTCGTCGCCAGTTTAGGGCAGGGCTGGACTTAAACGTTGTTGTTCGTTTCGTGTTCGTTTTGTTGTTCGTTTTGCTCTACCTGATTTCCTGTGCATCCCTGCCAAAGAGAACAACAGAACGCAGCCGAAGTCCAGAAAAAAAAAACGCGTTTAATTCAAGCCCTGGTCTAAGGAAACAAGCTCTATGCACCGACGTTTTTTCCGGCCCTGCGCTGACGCTTGCACAGGAAAGCGGATCGCAGTGTGTACGGGATCCTGGTGTATGCAGTTTTCGCGGTTTCCCCGGGAAAACGGTATTGAAAAAATACACCACACCACCCCGACGTCGTCCCCGACCCTCAGAAAATCCTGGGACTCAAAAGCAGCCCGCCGCTGGTTATGTATATCCTCCACTTTCCGAAGGTCTCCGCAAACCCAGATGTCCGACGATCCGATGTCTGTCAACCGGCGATTGCCCCCCGGGGGCCGTGTTCAGAACCCGGGGCCATCGACGAAGCTGACGCGACCCCGATCAGGGGAGGGCTTCCTACTGCATGGGCGCATTGCTTAGCGCTGATTGGAGCTGCTTGGCGCTGCGTGGCGTTGCCAGGCACGTCCTGACATCGCCGAGGAACGCCGCTGCAAAGAAACAGGACCGAGGAGTTCCCAGGAACGCCGAGCCCAGGGAACGACACTGCAAGGAAACAAGACCTATAGGAACCCCGTGGAACGCCCAGCGATCCCGAGGAACGACACTGTGGAGGAACCCCGAAGAACTAGGGACGCCAAGCAACCCTGAGCTGATCCACTGCAAAGGAGCAGGGCAAAGGAACCCCAAAAGCAGCTCCGGCCAGCGAAGGCGCCGCGCACCCGCTGATTATTCACAGACTTTTGATCCGCGGGTCGAGGGCGCACCTCTTCCGGTCGAAGCTAAGCGGGCCGCGCACAGCTTTCAGAGGGGGGAAGGCAGAAGGAGGGGCCTCACGTCAAGGCCAGGAGGGGGCAAAGCCCCGGAATCTGGCGGTGCCGAAGACGATGTGCTTGCAAAGGAACGCCTTGTACAGGAACCCGGCGGCGAAGTACCGGAGAAAGATTATTCACAGACAAGCAGAGGCCCACTGGAGGCAAAGCCTCCTTGGGCTCTGCCCGTCCAGCAGACAGGGCGGAGATCCAGGGCGAGATCCGGGCGTCTGCCGCCCAGCAGCCCCAGGCGAAGGATCCACGGGGAGGCGAAGGATCCCAGGAGATCCCAGGGCCTGGACAGAGATCCGGGCGATTAGACAAAGACAAAGAGAGAGAGAGAGAGCCTGACAAAAGAGGGCCTGGACAGAGATCCGGGCGATTAGACAAAGACAAAGAGAGAGAGAGAGAGCCTGACAAAAGAGGGCCTGGACAGAGATCCGGGCGATAGACAAAGACAAAGAGAGAGAGAGAGAGAGCCTGACAAGGCAGAGATCCAGGGCGAAGGACTGGCCCTGGGGATGGGGTCAGGAGCTCGGGGGCCGCGCACTGGAGAAGAGAACATCTCCGGCAGCACGAGGGACCGGCACGGAAAAGGCAGGGCGTCTGCGAGTCCCTGGTGCACATCACTTGCACGAGGACGCCGAAAACGAAGCGCGAACAAGTACGCCTGTGAGAATGCGAAAGAAGGAATGGCGACGGCGAGTTCCCCAGTTGGCTCCACCAGCAGCGACAGAAGCCGACGAAGCGCGGCGGGAAGCTAGCAGTTCAGAAAACGTAAACGAAAAACAACTCGACCAGAAAGATGAGGAGCTTCGTGTCCTCGTGCCACAGGGAAAGACTCGGAGGATGTCTCACTGCACCGACCTTGCAGACGTGCTGCAGCGGATTTTCGCGTGGATTTCTGTCCATGCAGAGCCCCGAAACGACGAGTGAAAAAAACGAAGTCTTCATTCCTGACCCAGGAAAAAACGCACGAAATTCACCTCGAATTCCGGAACGAGATTCTCCAGGACACTCTGGGCCCACCCTATCGTTTTCCGGACGAAATCCGCTCTGCGATGCGGGCGCCATGAGTCCTCGTGCCGCAGGGAGAGATTCCGAGGCTGTCTGCACCCGATGTGGGGACTTCTTCACAGCCCCGGCTCCCCAGGGTTAGGTCGGGCGTGTCCCCCTACAGGGGGAGCTTGGGCGAAAGAACAAAAACAGCCCCCAAACAAATACCCCAAAAGAGTCAAAAAAATCAAAACCTCGCCCCAAAAAACAGACAAAGAGTCAAAACTAGCCCCAAAGATATCCCAGAATGGTCCCCAGAAAAAAACCCAAACATCGCCCCCAGAGACTATTTCCTGACGACTTCTGCCCACTCCTCCTGTGGAGGGGCAGGCCCGACTCGGCCCCAGGGGGGGGGGGGGTCCGCAGCCCACCCACCCCCCCCCCAGGGACACCAGCGCTTCTCCTCTCTCTCTCTCTCTCTCTCCATCCGGGGCCGCCTTCCAAACTCTCCTCCTCCTCCTCCTCCTCTCCTCCTCCTTCCTCCTCCTCCTCCTCCTCCTCTCCTCCTCCTCCTTTCCTCCTCCTCCTCCTCCTCGTCCTCCTCGTTCCTCCTCCTCCTCCTCTCCTCCTCCTCCTCTCCTCCCTCTCCTCCTCCTCCTCCCTCCTCCTCCTCCTCCTCCTCCTCCTCCCTCTCTCTCTCTCTCTCTCTCTCCATCCCGGGCCGCCTCCCGACGGCCCGGCGGGGCCCGGGCGCGCGGGCCCCCCTCGGGGGCCGAGGCTCGCCGGCAGCTGGCGCAGGAGAGCGACGACCGACTCCCGCCAGCCCTCTGGGCGCAGGCGGTCCAGGGCGCTTCCTCTTGTCGAGGCTCCTGCCTTTCCCCCTGTTCGGGCGGTTTGCTTCCCCCCTCTCCCCTCACTGAGTCTGGGCGGGCTCCCCCGCGATGTGGCAGAGGGCCCTTGTTGGTCCAAGACGGCTCGAGCAGGAGATCGACGGCCGAGCTGACTCTCATCCGAAGTCCCTCGCTTCGTCGAGTCCACGAGCGAGAGACTCGGAGCGTTCGCACCTCCACGGAGGGCACTCTACGCAGTCTTCGCAGATCCGACGACGAGAGCAGTTCTGGGGGCGAGTCGATTCTGCAGCCGATCTCCTACTCGACCAGCCTTCCGCCGTGACCGCTGCACAACGCGAGGGGACCGGCCCAAAGGGCGGCCGTTCGGGACAATCCGGGTAACCCTGGAGCGCTCTCGGCGAGGCGCAGCTACTGGCAGGCATCCCGAGGCGGGAGGGCGTCCAGAGAACCGCCTCTTCACCACAGACACGAGCAGCCCGAGGTGATCCAGCCACGGGGCGGGCGCGCGTGCAAGGACAAGCTAACACACCAGCAGCAACAGGAAGAAAGAAGAGAGGATGAGAACCTTGCATAAACATAAACTTTCGGACGCGCGGAGCGCGCCAGGGGCGGCGCATGAGGCACCGCCAGGGGACTCAGCGCAGATGCAAGGACTCCGCGCGGAGCTCCAAGAGTGTACGTTCGCGGCGCTGCTCCTGCCTCGAAGGAGGAGCACAGGCAGAACGAGACGCAGAGCGGGTGCCGAACTCATTATCCACGTGCT